AGTTTGGTATTGCGATTGTCAATCCGTCTGTCAAAAGTAAAGATTAAGGCCTTACAACGTGTGAGGCCCTTCTCCAGCAGTACACTTTTGAGGGCCGATAAAAAAAACTTTACATACAGTCGAATTGAGTACCTCCTCCTTTGAATAAAAACTAAATTTACGGATTTTATCGCGTTTATTTCACTACTTTTACTTATTTTTTTACTTCCCGACGTTTCGGGTGCTTTACAGCAACCATGGTCACGGGGGGGACTGAGATGTTTGACGTCCCAATGTCATAGTTAGTCCGGCTACCTTCAGTTTTTGAATATTAATTTTTGGTCCGATTTACGCAAAACGAGCTTATAGTATCATGAAGTCTTGCAGTGGTATGCTTAGGTTTGGGTTTAATTTTGGTCATTATAGGATCTCAAGCAGGTGGCAGCACCCATCCATCTTTTCTATTGAAATTTGGATGTTTTTTAATTACAATAGCCTCGCGTATCATCCTTGGTAGGAATCGGTGTTCTTTTGCGAGAATTTGTGGTTTATCAAAACGAATGTAATGGTGGGGACGATCTTGAACATGTTCGCAGACTGCAGACTTCCCGGAGCGTCGGTGCTTCACGTCAGCTATATGTTCTTTAACGCGGGTTTTTATGGATCTTTTTTGTTTGACCTATGTAAGAGAGACCACATTCACAATCTAACTTGTACACTCCTGCATCTTGTAGAGGGATATTACACTTGATGGATGGTAAAAATTGACTAATCTTCTTCGGCGGCTTGTAGTAAGTTTTAATAGAAGCTCGCTTCAAGATGTAGCCAACCTTGTCTGTGACTCCTCTGACATATGGTAGTACAGCAGGTACACGCTCGACTGTGGCCGGCTTCACTCGGTCACTGTGACGTAGGCGCGGGACCCGAAGCTTGTTGTCTTGCAATACTTGCTTGACGTGCTGAAGTTCGGCGGCCAGATGTTTTCTGTCACAGATCCCTCGTGCTCTCTGAAACAAAGATTTACCCACGGTAGCCAACTGTGAAGGATGATGGTGAGATTCACCATTTAAATATCGGTTGGTATGGGTATTTTTTTCTATACACAGTGTGACCAATTGTGTTATTAGGATTACGAATGACTAAAACATCTAAGAAAACTAAAAAATTATTTGTCTCTAACTCCATTGTGAATTGTATTTTAGAGTTTATGGAGTTAAGGTGGTCTAAAAATGCAGTTACTTTGTCAGATGGTAAAATTGTGAAAGTGGTAAAATTGTGGAAGGAGGAGTTCTACAAGCAAGTAGATGGTGTGGCGATGGGCTCACCTGTATCTCCCATAGTCGCTGACATATTCATGGAGGACTTCGAGGAGAAAGCCCTTGTTACTGCTCCTGTAAATCCAAGATTCTACAAGCGGTACGTAGACGACACTTTCACAATTTTACCATCTGACAAAGTAACTGCATTTTTAAACCACTTTAACTCCATAAACTCTAAAATACAATTCACAATGGAGGTGGAGGCAAATAATTCTTTATCTTTCTTAGATGATTTAGTCATTCGAAATCCTAATTACACAATTGGTCACACTGTGTATAGAAAAAGACCCATACCAACCGATATTTAAATGGTGAATCTCACCATCATCCTTCACAGTTGGCTACCGTGGGTAAATCTTTGTTTCAGAGAGCACGAGGGATCTGTGACAGAAAACATCTGGCCGCCGAACTTCAGCACGTCAAGCAAGTATTGCAAGACAACAAGCTTCGGGTCCCGCGCCTACGTCACAGTGACCGAGTGAAGCCGGCCACAGTCGAGCGTGTACCTGCTGTACTACCATATGTCAGAGGAGTCACAGACAAGGTTGGCTACATCTTGAAGCGAGCTTCTATTAAAACTTACTACAAGCCGCCGAAGAAGATTAGTCAATTTTTACCATCCGTCAAGTGTAATATCCCTCTACAAGATGCAGGAGTGTACAAGTTAGATTGTGAATGTGGTCTCTCTTACATAGGTCAAACAAAAAGATCCATAAAAACCCGCGTTAAAGAACATATAGCTGACGTGAAGCACCGACGCTCCGGGAAGTCTGCAGTCTGCGAACATGTTCAAGATCGTCCCCACCATTACATTCGTTTTGATAAACCACAAATTCTCGCAAAAGAACACCGATTCCTATCAAGGATGATACGCGAGGCTATTGAAATTAAAAAACATCCAAATTTCAATAGAAAAGATGGATGGGTGCTGCCACCTGCTTGAGATCCTATAATGACCAAAATTAAACCCAAACCTAAGCATACCACTGCAAGACTTCATGATACTATAAGCTCGTTTTGCGTAAATCGGACCAAAAATTAATATTCAAAAACTGAAGGTAGCCGGACTAACTATGACATTGGGACGTCAAACATCTCAGTCCCCCCCCCGTGACCATGGTTGCTGTAAAGCACCCGAAACTTCGGGAATTAAAAATAAGTAAAAGTAGTGAAATAAACGCGATAAAAATCCGTAAATTTAGTTTTTATTCAATGTGTAGTGTTCGCGTAAATTTAAGAAATCATTACCTCCTCCTTTTTTCAACCGACTTCAAAAAGGAGGATCAATTCGACTCTATGTTTTTATGTGTGTTACCTTAGAACTTCTTTCTGGGTGAATCGATTTTGATGATTCTTTATTATATTCGTTTTATTTGAAATAATAATAATAAATTTGATCAAGATCTGACCAGTAGTTTTTGAGTAATCCTTAATAATGCTAAATACGCATTGACTTCATTGACTTCGAATACATTGATGATGTACTCATTTTATTTATATTGAAGTCGGTTGTACAAAATTTCTAATTTTACCACTTGTACCAATAGCGCAATAATCTTAAAAGAAATATTCATCATGAAATTTGTTATCACACCAATTCTCTGTCAATGGGCAATTTAAAACAGGTGCCTTTTGTCGTAGCGTCAATTAAGCACGTGCGCTAGCCGTAAAACTATTTGTGTCTACGTACGTTGTCCTACAAACATGGAGCGACAACAACCAACCGCTTACAAGCTCGCTTCCCGTTTCGCTTCCAATTCCAACTATGTACATTTTTCGCACTTCAACCATTGCGCGCTGTTTTGAGATTTTGCGCACATACACACACATTTGAAATACAAATAAAAGGGAAATACAACTTCTACTTAACTGCATTATAACACTTGTTTATTACGACACGGATTGCGGAAAAACGACAAGTTATAGAAATAAAATATAATTTATTTAGATCTCGAGTATACGATTTATTTAATACTAAATACTAAATAAATCCTGCGGTTTGAAATTAAAAAATTGTATTATACCCAATCGTTGCTATTTAATTTTTATTTTATTTACTCAAGGAAAACATATATATTAATATATAATTACTTTTTCACTTTTGACGAGCCGTGGTATTATAGTATGTATGGTTACTCGAGCATTCTGGGTTACATCCCTGCCAGCACTAATGAAAATGTTGATTGCAATTTTAATTACTGTTTGTCCGATGGAAGGAAAACTCGGAAACTTTTTTTAAAGAATTAGGGTGACAAGCGAGCACACATTCCATCTGATGGTGAGTGGATGCTGTGGCCCACAGACATTTACGCATTCCTTCGATTAAGAATCAAACTACAAATGCGTTGCCCCCTTTGAGGTCTAAGATGGAATGCTTCGTTCCCAATATCTAGTAAAAAGATTCTGTCCTGTCCTGTACACGCACCATACGAAAAAATCTGCAATTTTAAACTAGTAGTGTGTAAGAGCGGGGTCCTTCCCCGGTCGAGCTGACCTACAACTGTAATAAAGTCGCTGTGGCGAGTATCTACCACGTGTAAAACATGCATTTTTTTAACAGAATAAGGGTGTCAAACGAACTTATAGTCCACTTAGTGGTAATTGGCTGCTATGGGCCATAGACATTCTACACCTATCATCAATAATTAATAATCAAAGTGCAGATGCGTCGTCACCCCAGGTATCTTGAGTGTGGTCCTACCTCGGAAGAGTCGGCCCATTCGCGCTATAGCTATGTTTAGCTGCAGCTTTAACGGCTCTACCACGTAAATATCTTATAAAGTTATATATACATATTTTATATATATATATATATATATATATATATATATATATATATATATATATATTGCTAAGGTACATAGGAATTCTACCAACACGAGTTAAGGCAGGGCGGTGAACATTTCCTTGTCCTAAAACTTTCTATGAAATGTGAGGATGAGTGGGACGTATATATGTATACTGTGACTATACCTTTACCTACAGAAACGAGTTAATTTTTCACTATTAAATGATAACATTATTGCGCAGAAAAGTGATATACATTTTTAAAAACTTTTAACGTAATAAAATGTCATATGATCTAATTTTAAAGGTAAAGTTGTTCAAACGAAAAAGAAAAACTAATAGATAAAATTAGGGACTATGTAAGTTGCTGATCATTTTAAAATTTAAATTTTTTATTATTAAGTTTAAAATGTAAAGTATTATAACTTTTATGATCATAACAATTACATAGTTTGAAGTAGGAACAGGAATGTAAAAGGTAGATTTTAATCTAAGTCGGAAATTAATTTTGGAACACATGAGATTTTACTCAGAAGACAATGGAGAGACAATAAAATAATTAAGGATTTTGTATAAAAAGAAAACATCGCGGTATTCACGTCTGCGTCCCATGTAATTATTAAAATAAATATAAACAAAAATGTAATATGTTCAAAGAGTATATAATCACATCATCGTGATCAAACATTTAATATTTACAGTTGAATTTTTTTTTCATAGAATCACTAGATATTTTTAAAATAAAAACTTTTTTTTTACTTCTAATTTAGTTTAAAAACAATGATAAGCAAAAACAAATAACTTTTGTGATGTTAGTGAATTAAACATATTTCAAATATTACTTAATATTATTCTCAATAATGAATTATGCAATAAGAGTTTAATCGTTATTAATAAAAACCTATAAAAACCTACCACTGATTGTCCGTCCGTGGTTTCCAAGACATAATGCGTTAAACACAGAACTGTCAGACATGACCACAGATATCGTGTCATTTTAATTCTTTATTAACACACCTTCTTAAGAATTTTATTTTATAAAATATCGTAACGAAGAGACAGACGCGTCCGGCGGTCTGCCCTCGCACGAAGACACGACTATATTGCTGTACGAGCGAGCACTGCATGCAGGACTGATATAGGGACCAGCTTAACAACCTTGTCAGCCAAGGCTCTCTGAATCACTTACCTGTATTGCCTTGTAGCAAAAAATATATAATTATGATTTATTTATTCCCTTTGCTAATACCAATTTGTAGACACTTCTGCCAATTTTTGTTTTCTTTCAACTTTAATTCGTCCTTCATGATCATTTAATTCAATCACTAAACAACCAACTTAAAGACCACGCATGATGCATATATATTTAAAAAAAATTAAAGTTTAGCATTGCTCAATACCACAGAATAAATAGTAGTACTACGCCAATACATATCTTTCAACACAATTACCTTATATTAATTATATGATTTTATTTTAACGTGGAGATGATAGCTTAATCCGCAGATACATGACTTAAAATTAAAATTTTCAAAGAATTAAACCCGACTTCCATATATTTCTATATAATACTCCTGAAGTCTATTTTAACATAAAAGTAATATATCAAAAATCAAAGACTCGATTTTAGAAGCGAACGTGGAAATTATTTCATTCTTTTTAGTTTTTGCTTTTTTGAATATAAATTTTTTTATTATTTTAAGTAGACTAAGTAATCTCACAAATTCAAGGTAACAACTAAAACTTCGTTCCCTATATTTCCTCCCTTAGGAGGGGATTCCAAAAGGAGTAATTCGACTGTATTTTTTTTAATGTGTGTTACCTCAGAACTTTTTCTAGGATAACCGATTTTTGTAATTCTTTTTTAATTTGAAAGTTGGTGCTTCTCACGTCCCATATAAATTTGATCAAGATCTGACCAGTAGTTTTGAGTTATACTAAATAATGCATATTTAATTGACTTCGACTTCATTGATGATGTTCTCATTTAATTTATTTTAAAGACGGTTGAATAAAACTTTTAATTTTACAACTTGTTTTCTTAAAACGAACTCTCTTGAATTTTAAACTATACATAAAAAAACATATGCCTCGAATATGGAATCTTGTAGTCTTTCGATTAAAATAAAAGTTACTGACTATCGTTGTCTACATTTTTAAATAAAATTACCGTAATATTTGGGAATTGTGATTGTGTAGTAATATCAAAGTCAACCTGAACCTGTTTATCAAGCTTGTGTCATGCAACAGCTTTTACTCATACACAATCTCGATTTTGAGGAAGTTTTTCGCCGCTATATCGTAACACCTAAAAATAAGTGTATGTGCATACAGTACAATAAAATCATCCTTTCAGTTCCATTCTCTTTTAAGTTCTGGGTTCCATTCAATGTCTTTAAACGATTCAAATAATATTTAAGTAGTTTTAACTTTATATAAGTAGATATCTTAACAAAGCTTGAGAAAATAAATTCTTGGTTTTTTGTTTATTAATAATAAAAATATCGTTCATCTTGTAATTTTCACCTTACGAAAAACAATTATAGTACGTGAGGGTAATGTGGTCATCCGGATAATATGGTCACTTTCTTATTACTCAAAAAATATAGCCTTGCTTGCATAGATGACTTTGTGATACGATAGCTTTTCATTAGTGAATCAAATAATAAAGGGTCAAAAGGGCTCTGCTTTATCGACGCCATTTTGACAGTTGACATTATAATAAATATTTTAGTCGATTTTAGTATTGTGTAGTGTAGTTAGTATTTTTTTAGTTGATTTTTCGAAGTGTTCCTAATTTTTGCCAAAGCTTGTTTTTTTCTCTCTTAATATATTAGTTATAGTTTGCGAATTGGTGTTTTTGTCTTTGTCCTCCTCCTTATAAATCCTAGGCAAAACTTAAGGTGACCATATTATACTCATGTACTTTAACTAATATTTTAATTCGACTGTAGGTAATGACATATAATGTTTAATGTGTAATAAAGAAAATTATTAAATTAAAAAAGACGGATATTTAATAATAATATTAAATATCGCCATAAATATCGCAATAAAATAAATAAGGCGGTGTGTTAACAAAGAATTGTGTCATGTGTAACAGTTCTGTGTTTTACGCATAATTTCTTGGAAACCACGGAAATACAATTAGTGGGAGGATTTTAGTAATAACGATTAAACTCCTATTGCATAATTCGTTATTGGAAATAATATTAATAATATTTGTACTTTTCATTGTTTTTTACTATTTTGGATTACCTACATTTGTTGATGACGATTTATTATACTCATTGGAGATGATTTTATATCGCATTTTTGTTTATATTTAATAATTACAAAAGTAAATAGTACTTATACGAGGGCGGCACTGAAAATTTCGGGAATCAAGGAAGTGACACAACATTACTATTTAAAAATGTATTTATTGCTTTTCGAAGTATTCTCCGCGAAATTTGACACATTTTTCCATACGATGGAACCAATCATTGAAGCAACCATTCCATTCGGAAGTTGGGGTCTCCAAAATGGCCGTTTTGTAGGCGTCCACAGCTTCTTCAGGCGATGGAAATCTCTGTCCACGCAATTTATTCTTTATTTTAGGGAAAGTATAGAAATCATTGGGGCTTAGGTCGGGGCTTTACGGCGGATGGTCTAATAATTCTATGTTTTCTTGCTCTAAAAACTCTTTTGTTCTGTGTGCGGTGTGAGAACTCGCATTGTCTTGATGGAGGATGATGCGGCGGTTGCAGTTCTCTTTACGGAGTTCAGAAATGACCTGTGGCAAACAAATGCTAGCATACCATTCTGCATTAACCGTTCTTTGTCCCTCAAGAGGAATAGTCGTAACATGGCCGGTTTTGGAGACAAACGTGGCCACCATTTTTTTTTGCAGGTGAGCAGTGAGGCTCAGAGCCGTGCCGAACACTGTAGCGCAGAGAGTAGCTTGAAGGAACTGGAAGCATTATTATTCCAGTGCTGCAATGAACCTTGTGAAGCTAGATGGCTTGCAGGATATGAAGACTGCAGACGATATCTGCTCGGGAGCGAATGGGTGGCGTATTCTATGACGATGATGAAGCTTGAAGTTTCCGAAGGTTGTTGGTTGCGTGTTCAGATCACGTCGAGGTCACCACTGTGGCCGTATAAGGAAAGGGGAGATCTCCCGCCGGCCAAGGTGTTCTGCCCGTGTAGCGGCCAACACTCCATGTGATAATTCGGATATGTTCTATATATACTGTTTATGATTCGGAATTTTGATAGCGTGATTTAGGCTTCGGTGTGTATCGCTTGTGGCGCGACGACAGCGACGCTACATATATTTTTTTTTTTTACCTGAACAGCGTTTTTAACAGAATCTACATCATTTGGTTCCTTTTTTAAATATATAAATGTACGCCGCTTCGTTATGCGATTGGGCGACCCCAGTCCCATCTCAATTTACTCTCGCTGATAGCACAGTTTTGGCTTACATAGCGTTCATCTATGATCAGTGCCATCTCTTGCTGCTAAGTAAGCTAATGAGAAGTAATTGATAAATTAAAAAGAATGCTACTGAATACTTACTTATTATTGGAGCATCAAAAATTAATTATCAAAAATAAGTTGTCAGGCTTCAAATATCCAGAGCGGTGACCAATAACGGGTTGATTTACCGTAATTTACACGTTAAGCAAAATGGCTAATTAAATTGTTATACTTACTGGATCCTGTGCATACATCACTGTGATCTAGGAAGAAACTTTAGTTGAATATATTGGGTGTGTTTCGGCATGTCAATAATTTCACTACATGACAATGACACATGACAATTTTATGAATGCTTGTTATTATTTATAATAAAATCTTCTTAAGTTCTAATGAAATAATATAAAAATTGCATAAATCAGTCTTTTTTATTATTAATCATTCAATATTATTTGCAATATTAATTACAATAATTGCAATATTATGCATGTAAATACATGAAAAATGTAAAAGAATGGTCAAATTTAAAAAGCCTAACAAAAGCGGGACAGGCCGGATACCGTCTAATTTGGCCGGACATGCAACCAAAAAAGCACATTCATGACATCGCAATTCTCTTTTGTCCCTACGCATCCATCTAATTAGTTTTACATGTGTAGTGTGTGAATTATATACGGTTAGGTGGTTCTACAGTCCACTGAGTACGCTGACCTACAATCGCAGTTTAAAGAAACCTAAAATCGGAATCATTTTTTATTAAATTGTTATATTTAGATGCAAGATGTGTTGTGAGTATTCTCGGATCACTAACAATTGGTCGGTTAACAGTTAATTACATATTATATACTGCACATTATATACTGCACGCATCTTTTTTTCGTTGGGTAAACTTTTTTTTATAGAATAGGAGTAACAAACGAGTTCGCGGGTCACCTAATGGTAAGTAGATGCTGCGGACTATAGACATTTATTAAAAAAAAAAATTAAATATCTAAAAACAGATGCGTGTCACCCCTGAGGACTAAGATTTTTTTTATAAAATCTTATTCGTCAGGGTTGAGCTCTGCTGAGCACGCCAAGCTTTTTGGAGGCCAATTTGGCCTTCCTTCCAAGTGACCACGAAACTGCACGTCGTTCGATATGTCGACGCCAATACTGGCTGAGGAGGGGAGTGCCTTAAAACTGAGGAGATACGACGAAGGGGTTCTTTTTAGCGGTAAACGCGCAAAATTGTATCTTCTGGGGATTAAATTGTGTTGTTCAACAAAGTTTCGACTTCAGACACAAGTTTGTCCCGGTACTCGGCGACGTTTTCCCAAGAAATATTGGCACGGCCGGTGTATATAGTATCACCAGTGCTGACGTCTGCATAGCAATGAATGTTACCGGTTTGCAACACGTCATTGATATGCAGAAGAAACGGTTGGTGATAGCACGCAGCAGTTATGAGTTAGGTAACCCAGAAGGTCACCAGCCGAGCGACCGCGACGGAAACCGTACTGGTGGTCATTAATCAGTTGGCGATCCTTAAG